GATTCTTTATTTATTTATTTATACAGTAATAACAAATAATGGGCTGCAAGATATATACTTGTTGAAATTTAAAATTACATCCTTGGAATCTTCTTTCACCGGTTATTCCTCCAAAATATTTTGACTCTCTCATTCGTCCAGTCAGAAGAGACAGCATTAAGTTGCAACAACACATTTGAAATTGTTGCTTCAGACAGCTCTTCGGATTTAAATAATTGGTCGAGTATTGCTTTCTCTGCTTCTATTGTCTTGCGTCATGTGTTTTTCGTACGATCGGTTTCAAAAGGTAATGGCGTCTGTTGCAATGTTGATGAAATACTTTCTTGAATAATTGATGCTAGTGGGAGGCTGTCTACTTGATTATTTGTTTTTTTCTCTTTATCCTCTTTATCCTTAAGTTGTGTATAGGTATAAGAATTTATATTACACATACAATGTTTATTAGTTGATCGTGGCTCAGTTTTGTACACATCCTAATCAAGTATTTTTTTGTAAGCGTGATTTGCCAATCTCATAAAAGGAAAGAATATTCTCAAAACCTTCTTCGTTAAGTTCTGGAACACCTTTAAATAAAGGATGTGTTTTGGGATCAGGATGGTTAAAGGCGTTCCATAATTTTGAAGCCAGGGATCAAAGTGAATCTTTGCGTGATTCGATTGCACAAACACTTTGACTTGCCACAACATCATCAGTATATTCAGCAAGAAGCGTTGATAAACGATTGTTTTCACTTTGATCTGCCTTAATCTTCAGCATCATGGTCAACTGGTCAGTAAGATTTCCACTAATATTTTGCTTTATGAAATTTATACCATATGTTTCAAGTGCTTCATCAAAAGCAAAATAATGACCTTCATTTGTGAGATTTACGGAACATATTGTTTGTAGTAATTTCTGTAGTTGTAGGTCATCGTGAACTTGAGCCAGAAAATGTGGTACAGAATTTGCATATCTATTTTTTTCAGCTGCAGGAAAAAGAGGTGCGAAAGCAGCTAAATTTGCTATTTGCATCTCATAATTTCCTTTTCTAATTCCAATTTTATGACCCACAAAATATCCTATTCAACGGAAAAAAAGATACCAAACCTTTACCAGCTGATTATTGCTACTTAAAATATCATTCATAGTTTTTCTTTCTTTTTTTACATACTGGCATAGTGCGATCCTAACTGCAATCCAAATTAATTCCAAGACACGACATGTTACCTGATAATCTACAACATGCTCAAATTTATCTAGAAACTATGCTCCAAGAGCTGCTGCTAAAAAAAATATTCTGTATCTGGAAAATATCTTAATTATAGCACTGCACATGGCTTTTGATGTATGCCACTGTCCTAAAAGAAGCCGAACATTCTTATGGGTTTCTTTATAGGAAATTAATCTTCCGAAAATCACTTGGTCACAATCAATATACAGGTTGACATTGTTGCCAATTAATAAATCATTATTATATATTTCACATGCTTCATAGACATTGTTATTGCAATTGGATGGATTACAAGGCTCCAATATTACAATCTTTGGTGGTAAAGTATTGCAACCTGTAGATATTTTTTCAGTAATTTTTGAGTGTACATTTTCAACATTAAACCCACCACTTTCATAATTTTCTAACATTGTGTTTAAAATATTTTCATACATTATTAATAAATTGTTAGTAGTCAAAGATTCTCCAAACAGCGGTTGAATAACAGATTCATTGTCAATAAAATTTTCAAGGGAAGTGGGCAAAGTGAAATGAAATACTATTCGAAGTGTCACATGTGAAGTTCATCTTACAATGTCAAAAATGTTGACTTGTAAGAATGTAGAAGCCTTAAAGTCGATATTGTTAATCGCAGAAAGATTCCAAATGTTTAATTTTTTAATTAGATTTTCTCGAGGGTTAGCATGATGCATTCTAAAATTTTCAAGACGGTTTTCATGCCGCTTAGTGTAAGATATAACACGTGCTGAATATAGAATGTCCCGTAAATATAGTAGCAACTTTGGATTCTGGCACATTGACGATATGATGCATGAAAGCCAAATTTTTGTTTGAAGAAAAGTGATAGTTAGTAGCATAGAAGTTAAAAAAATGGTAGTTCTTGTAATTTGAACTTTGTCAAGGGATTTCAGAAGAAGTCCACGTTGATTTTTTTCTTATTAATCATTTTTTGTTTCCTTTGTTGAAGCACAGTGATGAGAGCTTGAAAAAAGCTACAAATTGTTTTAGGCAATGCATTGAAGTAGTCTTCATAAAAACTCGGTTTCTCTAACTGGCTAATATTTTTCTGAATTTCAGAATACAAAGACAAAATGTTTTTTCCTAAATTTTCTCCTACTATTGAAGCCTCTTTAAGATTTTTTATTTAAACTTTTCTTTCATTAATAGATTTAATTTAACTTTTCTCATTTTCAATGCCATTAGAACAAGTAACTTGCTTGGCAATTTTTCCGGCTCTTTTTCTGTTGAGGTTAAGTTTTTACTCATTAGTTCATTATTGAAAATGGTTAATGCTGAAGTTACTAATGAAAGAAGTCTCTCTTGCAAAATTTGATCATCTGATTCTGCTACTGACATTATCCATTTTCCAATATATTTTAGAGCATTGCTTGTGTCGTTATGGTGTTTTTCTGCTTCCTTACATGATAAAATTTTTCCACCGATACCTGTTTTTCGTACAAATAACCACCTTCCTGCTGAATACATTGTGAGCATATGTAATGTGCATGATAGCCAGAAGATGACTTTTGCACAATAAGCCTCTCAGTAAATGCTGAACATTTATGAACACCAATGCAAGGTATTTGAATATTGCACCCATTGATTTTCCATGAATGTTCCTTACAACTGTCACCGTGGCTATAGAAACATTTTTTTTTATGACAAAAAATGCAAAAGCAGATGCGAATATTTTGATCGATTGAGCACAATTGTTCTGCACCTTCAGTATGAAGTCGGTTTTGATCAAAGGTAAAATGAGAAAAACATACTCCAAGTTGGTGATAGCTATTTTTAATTTCTTTGATAGCATCTCCATCTATCTCCCATGTTCCTATCATTTGTTTCAATGCCCACAAATTTGTTTTACCACCACAACGCCTTATATTGCCTTCAAAAATGTCTAAAACAGCACATGGCGTTAAAAGCGAACTTTGAGTAGAGGTATTTGCTATTCTTATATATATATCTTCATTGTCGTCATTATTCTCATTATTATTTTTATTATTATATTCATCGTTATTTTCGTTGATATATTCATCATTTTCATAATTATCATCATTGTTATAATCTTCATTTTCTTTCTTCAATAAAAGACGAGCACTTGTAAGAGCATTCGCAAAAGAATCTTCATCAAAAATAAAAGAGTCTTCCTGATTTTCATCAGAAGAACTGCATTCCTCAAAATTCATGTAAGTAAATTTAGAATCACTCATTTTAGTGGTAGTTCTAGAATAGATATAATTTATATAATATTTAAGAGTTATATAACGTTTGAGTTTTATAGAACTTCATTGAAAGTAAAATTCAAGGTCTTTTATACCTTTTCTGTGACATACAATCTCAAGGCAAATTCCCCATCTTCTATAACACCTATCTTTGACTGTGCCATTTCCCAATTCACTAAATTTATTCACACTTGCACCATACTTGTCATTCAAGGTTAATCCACATTGCCACATCTAATTTGGCAAGTAAATTAAAGGCTATATGATAATAAAAACCAAATATGGTAAAAAAAATTTGTCAAAATTAATACAAAATGAGAAATGATAAATAAACAGCAATATAAGCACTAAATAAGAAAAAGATATGAAATTTATGGGTAAAGTTTTAACCACTCAAAGATGTCATGATATGTAAGTAATTGCATTTTATAGTTGTTTTATTCTATTAAAACGAATGTATTAACAATTAACTTTGAATATATTCTAAGGAATCAATTGATATACAATTCTACGGTCACTAAATGTGAAATTAGTTCTCGTCTATACGTAGTTGTCAGGCGAAACCCAAAAAAGGAAATTATAAAGTGCATTGTTATAATTTCCTTTTTAGGTTTTGCCTAACATCTATATTCTCGTCCGAAGTTAAAAGTCAAATTTTACGCAAAGAATCGATTCTAGAATTGCAATTTGGATAACATTGAGAAATACAATTAGAAAGGAACTTAATTCAGGCTATATGATATAATTCAAGGAAAATTGGTTTGTTAAATGAATTTGAATATATTATTCAGAAAGATGAGTGTATGTCTAACGTTAATAGGATATAATTTCATTCGCCAAAATAACTAAATTTAAATTTGCATCAAATAATACTAGTTGAAGATGCGAAGTATTTATTTTAAGATTTATATCCAAAATCATATCTAACGTATTCTAAAAATTTTCGGCCACTTCAAATTGTATTGACTGCGGCACTATTCAGGGATCAGGTATATTATATGTGATACAATGGATTTCCATTTTTTCAGCTAAGATCTACATGAATTTCATGATTTCATATTGCAACTTGGATATCAAAATGGACTATGAAGGAATTCAACTTTTATTTAGTATGTTTATTATACTCTATAATAAAAGCGTTGTATTATAAAAGAATAATACTAATTTGTATTTCCAATTTGAATTTATTAATTGAGGCGATTATAAAGAAACTGTATTTTACTCCATGCATTATGGCTACATAATTCGTTTTTTTTTAATAATTTATTTTAATCCTCGAATGGTCCATTTTTGCCTATCTTTTGGTAAGTTTTCTGATGCAATCTAATTATTTTTACGGCTGATATTGAAATTTGAACCTATTCAATATTTAAAATTTTTTTGGAGATGTTTTTTTTAGCTTTGGATTTAGGGTCTGAGTATACTTGTTATCCAAAACTATTTTTCTTTTTCTGAAAGGTTTCGGTTTTTCAAGATTTCAGTTTTGGAATATAACTTGGAGTTTCGGTTTTTTGAAACTGAAACTATATTTTGGGTTTCGGATTAGTACTTTCCAAAACTAGTTTCAGGAAGGTTTCGTTTCGGGTAACAAGTATAGATCAGAATATAAGCAAATTTTATTTAAGTTTATATTTTCAATTCGAGACCTCAAATTTCAGTATCAGCCATGACATTTACTATTTTATTTATTTAATCTCAATTTAATATATTAGAGGTTCCTTATTTCCATCTGTTGTTTGATAAGTTATAAAATCCTTGAGATGCATATGCCAATTTCCATTGATCATCTGTTTGTAATTCTTGGATTTAATCTATATGTTTTTTTTTTTTTTTTTTTTAAAAGTTATTAGTTACTAGGTGAGTTTTAATTACTAGGCTATTGACTATTGCGAAGTTTAATCCAAAGTCAAATTGAAATAGTGAACAAGCTATCTATTTAACTCACTGCTTTACATATTAATGCACTAAATAATTTTTTATTAAATTTTTTTTTTAATTTTTTAATTTTTTTTTTATACTTTAATTTTATTTTATATTTTTTTCCAAACGGGTCAATAAAAATGGTCATTTAGATCAAAAACGGTACACATCTCATAAATTGAATAGCTTTGTATAATCTTAAAACCGTTAGTGAGAAAACTGTTATACTTAGTATTAATAGATTAATTAATGATATATACTTGTTAAGGCTGCATGTATTTATTTTTAAGATGATGATGCAATATTGCAGCAAAAAATAAAAATAAAATATAAAGCCAAAAAGTTCCAAGATTTATTTAGTATAATGTTAATAAAGTTTGAGGATTTCAAAATTTCATATCAAAAATTGAAATTTCTGAATGCTAAACAACAGAAGAGAATGCACCTGATCCAAATTGAATCCCACACATGGTGTGATCAATTAAAACTAAAATTATTTATTTTAGTTTTAATGATCACACTGTGTGTGGGATTCCCTTTAGATCAGGTACGTTCCCTCTTGTTGTGCTGAACCAAAACTAGAATCAATTGAGTGAGAACATCTTGGAAGTGTCATAGAGTAAGGTCTAAATACATCCTATTCCAATGAATTCGTACTTAGTAAATCAGATTAGAGATTATAACCACCAATATAAATATAAAGTATTATAAATGTATCTAGAAAAATCTATTCATGTGCATAAATATCAGATTGTAATTTTGAATAAATAGAATGATTAATCTTCAAAAGTCTTAGATTCAGTTCATACCCAAGAAACACGTAAAAAAACTTATTTAACCTAGAATACGTAAAAAACAAAAAGGTTATTTTAAGAAAAGATGTTAAGGTATGAGGTCTTTGCCTTGAAAATAACCTTACAGGAAATAGTAATTACTATGACCCATAAGGTCATTTTCAAGGCAAAAACACCATATTTGAGTAATCTATAAAGGCGAAATTACTGATCATGAACGAACAAATGAAATAAGACCAGTACTCAATTGCAATCTATAGAAGTGAAATTAGTTTATTAGTAAGATTTTTAGTGAACGTGAGCAAACAAACAGAATAAAAACTATATATGTACCCAATTCCAATCTATAGAAGCAAAATCAGTTTATTAGTAAGTTTTATTTTACTGTTCACAAGCAAACAAACAAAATAAGAACATGAAATAAATAAATACATATCTTATTACAGGGGTTAGAGTACTTTAACTTCGAATGAAGATCTCTTTCGAATTACAAGGTATCTAGAGTTCATATTTTTTGGTATAATAAATAAGAGTTCTAGGAACATTTTTGACTTAGATGATATTAGTTAATAGGTTGTACAAATACGGGGTTACTCATGAGTAACATTAAAAATTACAAGATTTTAATATAAAAATTGAGTGATTGACGTATTTACTTTATTAGCATAAATCATTTTGAACCCCTGTAAGGAGAAATGTCTTATGACTGATACTTTTAAGCTATTTTAACTTATTACTTTCCAAAAACTACTTCTCTTAGATACAAAGCCCTTAGTAGCAAATACAAACATTATTTTCTATTAAATTTACAAGACTCAGATACAGATTTTACACAAGTTATATAACTTTTCAAAAAAGAATTTATATTCAAAAACCTTCAAATGACTACATCAAAGCCAAGCCATTTCTTCTAAAAAATACTAATAAAAATAGAACATCTTACACATTTACTACTTCAATAACAAAAGCCAATTAGTAAGGCAATTTATAAACCAGATTACATTAATCTACAAGTTTTTACTCTTATTATCTTCTAGTATAATAATAGCAAATCCTATAAATAAACTTATCTAACTCAAAGATCAGTATAAAATTAAAATTTTAATATTACAACTTAAATAACTTTAACAAAAGAACTTATAAACATAGTTAGGATACTAAGACAAACATATTACTTTTATTGTATTCCAAATACAAGATTAATATATTTGAAAACATCAAACAAAAAATATACAAAATACAAAAACAATAATTCATCTAAACTTTTAATTTCAAATATACTAATAGAAATTAAAAATTACTTAACTATAAAAAATAAATTTTATTCAAACACCTATTCAAATTATACAACAAACAAAGACTAAAGATATACTAAAGTTATTATAACAACATCTTATTAATAATAATATTTCAGATAACTTTTTAGCACTGTCACCTTTTTAAAACCAAATTGGAGGTTTTTTTTATCAAAATCCAACAATAACTGCACATTCTAGTAGTTTAAATATACCAACAACTATCTCTAACTCTTCAACAAACCAACTTATTACTAATTTTATCAATATTAACAATTTAACAATATATTTATAATGTGCAAGGTATTTACAATAATTTCAAATTACAACACTGGCTTGAATATTGTTACAAACAACAATTTTATATTGTCTGCATGCAAAAAACAAAAATCACAGAATCTATTTTTACAAAACTCTAAGTAGCCAATTTATACTATAAAGTTTATACATCAAACTGCAATATAGACAAAAAAAATAAAAGAAAGTAGTTTTGGCATATTAATTGCATTAAATTTACAGCTTTAGCTTTATATACTATATTTTAGTAATTTAGTGAGTTTGTTGCAAATTGCTTCTAATTCTCATATAACCTACAATGGCTAAGTCAAAATATATATATTAAATTTAGCTAGTTAGTTTATCTATAGTTAAGTACCAATCTTTTTTTAAAATTTTTTCTTTAATCTATTCTTCTATTAACTTTGCTTTCTCTTATTTTTTTCTATTTTTTTAATCTAGAATTATTATATGTCAAATCAGAATTAGAGTTTTTCTCTTGCATTAATGACTTGGTTATATGATTTATAGTAAACAATCAAAATGCAGTTTAGTAATTTACAAATGAAAAATAATTAAATACAATAGTTTTAATAATAGTTTATTAGTTTGTGTTGGATTATGATTTTACATTAATTATAAGTTAAATACTTTAGTTTTATTTAAGCAAATGTATTACTTAGAGATATTACTGTTACTTTTTTCTTTAGCCAAAAAGTCTTTATTAATAAAAAAAGTTTTATTTATATTTGAGATTAATTTTCTTTATATTATCTATTTATATAATATTATTATTAAAACTCTTATTACCTAATAATAAAAAAAAACTGAATTTTCTATATGTTCTTAGTTTATCTAAAATAATAAAAATAACAAAAG